TATTATTTGTTATATTTTATTATATAATTATCATTATACAATTTCATTATTTGTAACCTTGAAAGTCGAACCTATCAGTGGCTTTCGTTTTGTACATGTGCTTTCGTTTTTTACAAATGCTTAAAAGATAATCTCGTCGTTAATTTTTAAACAGAGACACAATCGTACAAGTTTATTTATTTTAATTGTCATTTTTAAATTATAATTACTTATATATAGAATATTTTGAAATAAAGATATTAATTATATTTCAGTTAAGCGTTAAAACGGGAAAGTGTTAACAACGAAGAGGATGGAGAAAAATTTTCATGTATTTTCAAAAAGTTTCAATTTCGTTAAAATGGCAACACTGATCGCGAAACAACGATTGAACGGGACACGCAACGTTCTCGCATTCAAGATATCTTATTAGCCGGGAAAATTCAATTTCCGCATGATACACGTACACGTGCATGATACACGTACACGTACACATACTACACATGTTTCCACAAATTTCAATCACGGCCACAAAGTGTTATACCTACGGTTATAGATTGTGGTTCGTTTATGGAATCATAAAATCGATGGTTGACTCTCTCTCTCTCTACGTCCGATAACGCGTTTAATTACTGTTTACTCTCATTGTCAGTTGTCCTCGATATATAACAACATCGACCACTTCGATACTTTTTCCTAAAGAGCAAGAACTCGCGCGTTTTTGAACAGGTTAGGTGCCGAGACAGTTTTGAACAAACTATCTCAAAATATCAGAAATGATAAATGAAACGGTGTAGGAGATTGGGAAATATGTAAAATTATATACTCTTTAGCTTTTTGATGTGTTCGAGATTTATTATTAAATGTTGAAATCAGAGAACACACTGTATAACAAGGAAAAATAACTTTATTCATATTAGAAATATACAGAAATAACGAGACAGAAATTTCATTTGGCGTGCAACCAAATTTTTGGTGCTAGCAGCATTCAAAGTATTAATCATTTATACCATCGGTTCTCAAACTGTTTTTTTTTTCCCGTACCTCTTTTGATCAAGCTTTTCATTTACTAGTTTACCCTCTCCTATCATAAATCCCCATCTCTCGAAGACTTTCACATACATAAATAGTCTTTCTTTGTAAATCAAAACTCTGTAACTTTGTTTTTGTGTTTTTATTTTAACTCCTGTTTTTATTTTCCCCTTCCCTCACGAGATACGCGTACTACAGGTTGCGAACCGCTGATTTATACAGCCATCTGGCTTTTGGGTTAAATTTTTAGGTTAGAAACACAGAGTAAAAAGATGGCGAGGCATTAGACATACAACTAATTGTTGGTGAACTGACGTTAAGGCGTATTTTCGTACATAACTTTATCTCTAACAGATATTCCGATATTCCTTTTCCTTGATTCAACCATTCAACTGGAGAACAAAAGCTAGAAATTTGATAGAACAGCCTCATGCTACTGTTCCGTTAACTTCTCAACAACTAACGCGAAGTAGTGCTTTCTGTTTAGAAAAAAGTACCCAGACAGATTCTTGTCTTTCATCTTTTTTTCTCAAACGGGAATTATTATGTTTATTGGAGCAACGTCCACGCTTATTCGTGGAAATATTCGTTACGTAATTGTTCAGGCCAAGCGTCTTTCCACATTCGGTCGAAGAAATTCGACGAGATCTTCCGAGAGGTTTTCTCAATTTCTAATTTCGAAAACGAAGCGAATTGGAAAAAATCAGATGCAGTGGAGATCATTTCCAGTTGCATCTCTGTGTCCCTATCTTTTCTGTCGTTTCTTTGTATTGCGTCCTCTCGCGTCGACAACAATTGTTTACTCGTACCATTTTCCCCACCAAGGAGAATCTAATTTCTCAGGCGCGAGAAATTCGAGTCAAAATTTTGTATCGTGAAACGTGCGTGTATTTGGCCAATTCTCTCGTGGACGAACAAGCTGAACCGAATCGAAGTGGCAGACCGAGCTTGACATCATTCGCTATTCCAAGACGGCTGACGCAGAAACTCGCGCGAATTTATCCTATGTAGTTGGCGCTGTTCAGTTTCCTCGAGTGCTGCACGCGCGCCATCTCTAACGTAAATATACCAATTATGTCCATAGAACATGCTTCTGCTCGGCTCTCTCGGAACAATGAAACGTGACATTGTTCGATTTTGTAACTTTTCGCATATTCGACAAGTCGAGACGTCGAGATCGAGTGGTCGATTTGTCGACAGACAGACGAAGATTTAAAATGCAACGATGATCGTTGGCATTGCGTGTGATGGAGCTCGACGCAGGAGGAGAAGCTCAGGTGGCAGAGAGTAGCGCGAGACACCGAAGCAGATCCGATCCGCCGGCTTGTCACGGACAACCTTCTCCCCCACTTCGATCGTTCACTCGATGAACTCAAGTTGGCGTAAGGTTTCGTCGTAGGTGAATGAAAATATCAAGCGCGTAACAGTAAACGCGCGTATTAGAAGACGAGTGAATGGCAGAGTAGCAAAAGCGTGCACTCGCTGTGTCAATTACGCCTGCTAATCGACCGAGCGCCGGTAATGACGATAGCGCGTTAATAAATGGGCACACATTTTTTCGCAAATTTGCTTTCTCGCTCTTTCTCTTCTTATCTTGATCGTGAGTCGAGGGAACAGCAAGAGGTAACAGGGAATATAGATATTACAGAAACTATGTCGTTTATAGGTTGAACTCTTTCGAGGGGTGAAGAGGAATTTTGGTGGTCACAGCGGTAGTGACAGCACCGTACCTACGTGTTATCCGAATGATCTCTACCACCTGTAGCACATACTGTTGTTATTTGTTCGCAAAAAATTAACTCTCTATAAAAAGAGTTAACAAGCAAAACTGAACGTAATATTTTATCGATTATTTGCATGTAGAATACGAGAAATAGTAAAATAGAATGAATATGTTTTGGATTTCCTCTAAACATTTTATCGCTATGTTATCGTCGCCATTCTAGCAGATACAAACTGTTTCCTTGGAGTTTTCCACAGATATTAGTTACGATTAATAGTAAATCTGCAAATTAATTTAAATGAAAAAAGTTATCGATTCTTTGAACTGTCACAATTTCGCATCGTGTAGCAAATGAAAAAGTATTCTTTTCTTTAAAAAAAAAAAAAAAATTGTAAAAACTTACATATGTAAAAACAGTGAGAAATTTTATTTGCGACTAAATCCATCGTGGACTGTTTCTTTAAAAAAAAAAAA